TAGATAGATAGATAGATAGATAGATAGATAGATAGATAGATAGATAGATAGATAGATAGATAGATAGATAGATAGATAGATAGATAGATAGATAGATAGATAGATAGATAGATAGATAAAGAAAACAGGAATAACTAGCACCTATAAGCCAGTGTTGCTTCAACTCTCCAGATTCTTGTTCAAGAGCATGTAAAGCAGTGCTACTGTACTGCCTAGTTTTCTTCTGCTTTGTGGGTCTTTGGCTTCAATCCAAATTCTGTTACTTACCATAGTTGAGAATTTAGCATTTAATAAATACGGCATTGTTAGACTCCTACTTCTTGCTTAAAAGCTTGCCTGAAGGAAAGTCTTTGCATGACAACAGAAAGACAAGAGAAAGGAAGCCAACCTGGCCTTTCGGGACAATGCATTTCAACACCTGGGAGGAGCCACTGAAAAGGCCCTCTCTTGTCTCCTCAACAAGTGAGTTTAGGAACATGGTGGAACTGATATAAGGGCCTCCCCAGAAGATCTTCAAAGCAGAGAAGGAAATAGCTTGAACCCAAGCCATATGGAGCTTTATAGATAATAGCCTTCAAACTGGGTCTAGAAAAATACAAGCAATCGGTGAAGCTGTTGTGATAAGGGAGTTATATGCACCCCTGTAACCAGCGCCAGTTACAGGTTTGGCTGCTGCATGTTAACCCATTCTTGAAAGGCAGCCCCGTGTAGATAGTGTTGCACTAAGGCATGCGTCACTATGGCCAGAATGAACATTTCAAGGAATGGGCACAGCTGGCATACAAACTTTTAACTGTTCAAAAGCATTCCTGGCCACTGCTAAGACCGTGCATCAAAACTCAGAACTGAGTCCAAGAGCACACCCAAACGGCAAACTACTGACTGACTGAAATCCAAGTTAATATGAAAAACCTAAAGAGATACTAGTTACTGCTTTTTTAATTTGAAGAGAAGTTCATAAACCCTATATAAATCTCCTCTGTGTACATAGAAAAATAAAGGAAAAAAATACTGCATCACAGAATAATCTCCATTCAACAATTATTATATCCACTCAGAAGGTTAATAGGGAGTTAGTACAGTACAGTCTTGTCAAATAGGCAATTAACAGAATAACATCATCTTCCTTGAGAGCATGCACTTCTCAAGAATAGCAAAATGTCCATAAAAAGACATCCTAAATATTGCAACAGAAAGCACATTTGGTAAATTATAAAACATGGTGTAAAATGTGTCTAGCACACAGAAGGATCCGCGTAAGCAAAAGTATTATAGTAAAATAACACATAATGATGAATAAGCTGGGCACATGTACAGTTTCTTTAAAAATAGCTATGTCTGAATGCACATGAAATATGCTTTAAAACATGTTGGCCATAATCCTATTAATTCACAGTTGCATAAGGAAATATCAATCTTGGCAGCAAACTGCTACACATTAATGAAACACTAGTTGCAGGGTGGATAAAAATCAATGATGTTTTAATTATAAATTATACTCTACCACACTATGTATACAAATTTCCATCTTCTTTCAGTGCAGTAAGATATACCAGCCAGTATCCTGTTCGCTAGAGTTGCTATGATTAGATTAAGAATCCAAGTCCCTTTTATATAACTTTTTATTAATGCTATTCAGCTCATACTCTTATGCCAAATCAAGAAGCTTATAATCACCATTGACCTTCCTAGAAATACTCAGACTGACATCTGTTTAGCAGATATAACTGGTGAATATAACTGCAGGATTCTATGTAAATAATGTACTGCAAGAAGTTGTGCTATTTGGTGTGGTGCCTATTGTGTAATGGGCTGTTCTACTGGTTGTGCTGCCAGCTATACAATAAGTTACAAAACAGATTGTCATTAAATAGTGCAGCTACTTGCACAATATCAGCATGTGTGGAAAAACGTCAAATGATATATCTTTTTCCCATAATTCCAAAATATATTTAGGAGTGAACAATGGCTAAGTAGGAAACAAGGACAAAATTTCTTCCATTTCTAAAGATCAATCAGTTCTCTAATCACTGGCTTCTAGTCAACTAAATGATATCAATTGACCATGTGACGCAGAGATGCCGATTTATTCTTTTTCAACACAAAAAAACCCAAAATACGTGAATAGTTACTAAGATAAAGAATCTGCCTTCATTAAATTTATAACCTGTATTTTCCCCAAAAACTTTGTTAGCAACATTTCTTTAATTGGGTTGGTAAAGGTAACAGCCATACCAATAACATATACTGCCAGTTTTATCACATCTTACATATAGTTACTTGATGTTAAAGTAAATTGTCAATATTTCCAATCAGAAAACAAGTTATGCTGATGAGGATTTTGTTTATCTTCTATCAACATGAGACTTGGAAAAAAGTTGTTTTCCAAATTCTATTTATTTCAATTGGTTTCAATAAAGTTTTAATTGCATCATGCAAATGTGTATAAAACAAAAAAAATGCAAAGTAACATGATGATATCATAAACTGAGGCTGTGGTCACACTGGTAATTTGAATCCATTTCTGTTCAGGCTTTTTAAAAATCACGTTTAAGTTATGTGGTTTTTAAACTAATGAACGTGTTCACATGCACTGAATGGAAATTGATTTATTTGTGGTGATTTAAACCAGTTTTGATGTCTGTGTGTGTTCAGTCGTTTAGTCGTGTCCGACTCCTCGTGACCCCATGGACCAGAGCACGCCAGGCCCTCCTATTTTCCACCGCCTCCCGGAGTTGTGTCAAATTCATGTTGGTTGCTTCGATGACACTGCCCAACCATCTCATCCTCGGTCGTCCCCTTCTCCTCTTGCCTTTGCACTTTCCCAACATCAAAGTCTTTTCCAAGGAGTCTTCTCTTCTCATGAGATGGCCAAAGTACTGGAGCCTCAGCTTCAGGATCTGTCCTTCCAGTGAGCACTCGGGGTTGATTTCCTTTAGAATTGA